TCGAAGAGAGATATGGCTACCCGACTGGAGTAGACCGGTTCAAGGAGCCTCGTGGTAGGAGGTTTTAAGGACGTAATTGAAAATCGGATTCCATTACTATGATTTTACTTAGAACGGGGTTTTAAATTGGGTAATTGAAAGTAAGCAGACCTTCCCATGTCAACAATGGCATGGAGATGGTTTTCATAGTTGGGATGCCATCGTGGGAGTTTCTCGTGGAGGGTCTCCAGGGTTATGATATCCGACGGAGGCATGGTGGGAGAGAATGATTAAGCCGGCCGTGGCCCAAAAAAACAAGATACTCAATGATGATGAAGTTTGACAGGAGTGCGAAATGATTGGGTCGGCTAGAGGCCGCGGGAGTTGGGTATCATAGCATGCGCATCATCAGAAGTAAAGGTGGACGGTGAGGCTTCTCTGCGGCCGGAATTTTGGGAAGTCATGATTGAAAGTGGGGTGAGCATCTGGGTATGGACCAAGTCTGGGCAGGTGCTTCAACGGCGAGCCGAGTGCTCAAGTGGGCAGGGCAAATCTCCGAGCTACATGCATACGGAGGAGTACATCCCCATACTCCATACTTGATGCTCTGCACCCCGTATTTCTCGTCTACACAAGTCCCGAGCAAGCCTTGCCCTTGCTTGTTAAGGTGAGAATGAATGACTGCAGAAAAGGCCAGTTTTAAACATATGTATCAACAAAGAATCAACAATTTCTTTAATCAGCCATTTATATTTCTTCTTTTCATGATATCCATGGTTGAATACGAAGTGCACCAGCCAGAACATACCAAGCATCAACAGATATCACATATCTAAGCAAAACCTGTCATCCGATTGCGCAAGTCTAGTTATAAGCTATGTTGACGCCCTATTGAAATACTGTGACAGAAATTGTCTAACGGCATGGCAGATCATCAACAAAATACCCCTGCCCGTGAACCTAGAGAAATCTTGGCGACGCCACGACGTGTTTCTGTATCCTCCGTCTACGTTTGCTCAGCCAACGAGCCTTTTCGCAGGTATTGGATAGCACATGAAGGGTACACTCGCGGCATACGGGTCCGGGGACGGGAGTCAGTATCAACAATGCTAAGAGTCTCGGGCATACGGGCACCTCCTGAGAAGTCTGATGATTTTGAAGAACTAGACACCCGACCGCGACTCAGTTGCCAAAACGTTGCCCGACCTCCTTATATTGTATATGCACACTTTGGCTTGACGGGAAAACAAGATGATGTCACAACATTGGGTTGGGTGTTAACCAAACAGCAGTTTGCGCTGTTGGGTGTTGGGCAGAAATGAATGCAATGCCAATTGGCACTACATCGGGAAGGGAGAAGCTTACAGCTCGCACGAAGACCAGGACCAGGGAATCGACGCAGATGCCGCATTCTTTGGCGCCTCGGATGGACGGCTTGAACGGGGACGCCCCCGTCCGGGCCTTGTGGCATCAAGTCGGGCATGAACCGGAGATGCTATTAGTAAGTGTATTCCTGGCCACAGAGAAGGACCGTCCAAGATGAGGTCGTATCTGGAATGCACGAAAGCGAAAAGAGGGGACAGTTGGGTTTGCCCGTGACGCATCATCAAGTTCCTGCGTGTCCATTCTGCGTGTCTCAGTGGACAGACTTCATGGGTAGCTGGGAGACAGGGTGACGGGGTCAACCGCATTCCTCTAGTATGGCGGACGAGCCGTTCCGAATTATCTCGTCCTCTAGACGTTGCTGGTGCGGTAATGTTGCTTCTAGGACATTTACTTGTGCCCTCGTGCTCTGTACTCACCCATCGCTGGAGAGCGTGATGTCTCGACCGAGACGGCTAATTATAAGGGTGGTGTATGTACGGAGTACATTGGGGTGTCTACTCGGCATCCTTTCCCTCGCAACCTAGGGGCCCGAATTGTTCGTAGAAGTGCTGGCCTCAACACCGGCCCGTTGTTCTCTCGCGAGTGGACGTTTGGCTGGGCCCAGTCAACTGCCTTGGGTACTAGTACTACTATGTACCTGCAAGCGGTTAACAATCACTCCACACGCCACCCCGCTGCACGGCTGATACTCCACGATACACTTCTTCATCTTGTACGGAGTTACATGGCAGAATGTAGCGATTGGCTCTCCGGTGAGCGACTCGCAGACCAGGTTTGTTCTCTTTGTGGAACCGACATCACGATTGGCCCTAGTTCGAGAAAGGAAGCCACGGCAGACGGGAATGTGAGGCGAGAACTTTCCCCAATTCCAGACAGAACACCATTACTACGTACTCCGTACTACGTAGTAGGTTCCCAACATATTCGCTGCAGTCGAGTGAAACACGAGGACAATGCCGCCATATGGCCGGCGTCTGGAACACTGCGCCAGCTATAATCCCGTCTCGCCAGGTAGTGTTTTGTGTTTTGACCATGTGGTTGTGTTCCAGGACCGGAATGTGCTTTGCGAACCGAGCAAGCTGGCATTCCAATGTTCGTTGCATTGACAATGGCGCCGCCATGGACGGCCTCATGCTGGTGCTTTCCTTTCCAGATGGCTCTGCTACTCTTTTCCTCCCCTGCGAGGGCGTTGGTGTACGACAAGGGGTCTGAAATGGAAGGGGCAACATTCCTGTGTTCCCGTTTGATGCGTTGAGAACCGGCAATTACAAGAGATGAGGCTCACGACCTTATAGTCCAAGACGAAACCGGCGAAGCCAATGGTCCAAAATTTCGCCACATGTTTGCAGGAAAAGAAACTGCGACGAAGTACTCTGTACAACCTGATTGCTGGCGCTTCGGCTCTGTAGCGATATCTATAAGGCATCAGCTCATGTATGGGCACCAGCCCATTGTAGACGACATCTCGTATCACTGGAGGACATTGTTGTGCACTCTCTACGGTGCATTGATCCCAACGCATGCACCCATATGGTTTGAGAGATACTCCGAACGGTTTGCCCCATGAGCGGGAATACGACTTTACTTTGTTGTGAGTCGCTCCATCACAGCTGAGAAGTACAGTCCAGACTTGACAGTCCACAAGTCCAAGAACGTGGGCATTCGTGTCATTTAAGGGACTGGGGTCTACAATGTGATCAATGTGACTAACGTGCGCCCCTTGGAACCTTGGGGGGGGGGGGATAGGCTGCAGTGATGCAACCCCAGAATATGCTTCCTCCCCAGAGTTCAAGCTTGACATGGCAGCATCGGAAATGTAGGGGAGTGTTCCGCGAATGGTCGAGGCGGCAAGTCGGTTGAATAGACTGGCCCAGGCCGTGTAAAACCATGCCGACTAGTACTCCACGTTGCCACAATATTGTATGCGGTGCTCAGTTGAGTTGGGAAGATGCGCAGGGCACAAAGGCACATCTGGGCGTGAAGACATGCAGAGGGTTCATGCTGGAATGCTAACTGCTGCGTGGCATCGAGGTGAAGTCGGACAACCCCACCAGCCACTCGAAGGAGAGCCAATGATTGGATGCTATCCCAGGCACGCTTCCCCGCTCGTGACGCGTCGGAAACGCGTCGCACGCGACTTCGCGTTGATCCTGTCCACGCACAATCCTCGTCGGACCAGATACTACTCCGTACTCCGTATATTCCACACAATCCGCAATTGGCAATTGAGCGAGGAAGAGCCGATTTCCTCAGCGTGTCTCTGAAGTCATAACCGAATCGCACCGGGAGCTGGCGTCGAGATGCTTCATCGTAGTGATGGCAAGTTTTCTTGCCGCGACGGGGTTGACAGAGACGTCGCAATCGCGAATGCTGCGAGTTATTCTTTCTCGCCTAGGCACCCGCCCAAATCCAGTAGGGTTTTTCACCCACACTAGATTGCATACCAAGGCTAAAGTTTAACGGACTGGAGGAGAAGCGGTTCAATGTTGCTTTTTCCCACGACTTGCGTCGAGAAATGAGGAAACGACGACAAGCCAGGCACTCTCTCACTGTCCAACGCTGGCATCTACCGGCCAATCCCATCCCAGACAGCAATTATTGTGACCATCGCCAGCCTCCTCCTCTCCATCTCTTTGCCAACGTTGCAGTGCTGCTGGCCACGTTGACGGATTGTAGTACCTGGATAGCCTCCCGAGCCCTTGCATGCACACTTGGGGGTTGAATCATTACGTACTCCGTACTTGAGTATACTGTAACCTACCAAACCCTCGTTCTGGGCGGCCAAGCTATTCATATTCCGGAGATGTGAGCATATTAAGCTCGCGAGTGACGACGCCAGGGTCAAGACAAGAATTGGTCTCGGCCATGGTCATCATCCTCCAACACACGATTACGGAATAGTAGCCGTTGCCATCGCCCTCCACCGCAATTTTGATCACTAAGAAAACCACCATCCCATCAACAGTACGCTACTACTTAACTCTACTTGTCGAATGTTGGACGATTGGCATTTACATGACTCTTGGAGCTAGACAATGGCCGCCACCGGTTGCCGTTAGTCGTCTGCTAGCAAGCCGTTGCTGTTCCCATTCCCGTCTTGGTCGTTGTTCTCGGTTAAAAATAGAGCTTTTGGCAACTACTCGGTACTTGGTACGGTCTGCATCATACGAGGAACTGAGAGGCTGCATGTCGAAGCAGCAGTGTCCACCAATTGTTGTTTGAAGACTCCCGTCTCTTCTTGGCTTGGGGTCGCAGACATGATTGCTGCCGCTTTCCATCCCACCGCCCAACTCTCAAAACAACACATCCAAGGGGTCAATCTGCTGGGCTTGGGAGGTGTTGATGGCGGCGGCTCCGCGTTGCAGTGAACTCTGCACGTTGCAGGACGTCTGGACGGTCCGCCCGACCAGCTCCCGCAGACTGCAACCTGGTGTCTTCAATGTTTCCACCGCCATCACCGCTCCAAGTTGAAGACTCGAAGGCGCTTGAGGACTTGAGGACTCGAGGACACCGACATCGAGGGTGGGGCCCGAGCGTTCAAGTGGGGGGGCGGCTTCTGGCAAGGCCCGCCGGCGTGCATTTTAGTCGACAGCTCTGGTGCGTCTCGATGGGTCCGCGTGAGCAACGGACCAAACATGGACATGGAGCGCGTCGAGGCACGGCGACCAAGCAACAGGCCAGTGGTCGCCTGGTGGCCAGTGGTGCAAATCGAAATCGACAGAAGCGACAGGCACCATGATGAGCCTGCACCGCAGCGCGAGCACTGTGTATGTGTGTGGCCCCTGTCCGCAGCAAGAGGCCCTGCTGGCGCTTGTTCCAACAGGGTCGTCGCGCATCCGCACCTCCCGCACCTCTCTGGCTGCCGTCGAGTCGATCGATGCGTCTTCTACCGTCGACGCTCCCCAGTCTGTCTGCCCTGTGCGTCGCAGACTCGGAGACTCGCAGGGCCTGCCTCTGCCTGGTTGGGTGCGCGTCCTCGGCCACTCCCCCCTCCCCAGGGCTCCAGGTGCTGTCTGGCGTCTCTCGCCTCCCCTCGCTGCCCCAAACAGCCAGCACTGAGTCTCGCAACTCCACCGCCATACATGTCTGGTACATACAAACTGCTCCTCCACACCCCGGGCGCCCTGGGCCATACTCCTCTCCTTCATCCTCCTCATTCCAGTCCCTCCTTTGCGCCGACACGCCAGCGGGCTGAGTTGCTCTCGATTGCCAGTTGCTGCGTCGCAAGACCACCGCTCCCGTCTCTGGACGACGAATTCGCTACACTATCGCGACGCTCCGTGCCTCAATAGCGACGTGGCATTTCCTTGGTCCAGCATTGAACCTTGGCCGGCAGCGCCAGGCGCAGACTCGTCCGACCGCGCGCCGTTTCCCGTCCTCGCGCACGAAGCTCTCGCGACGACCCGTCATTTTTTCTTTGTCCCTGTACTACCTACGAATCAATACTACTTGCTTCTGCGATTCTTCGTCGTGGCGCATCCCTACATCAATCGCGTGGCTCGACGCAGCGACTGAGACTCTGCATTCCGCCTGCGACAAGGACCTGTCTAGCTTTGCGACAAAGTCGGCCTGCCCGGCGTAGCCATTCAAAACCGACACCACAACAACCCTCAAAACGAAACAGGCAAGCTCGGACGACCTTGCAGTTGACTCTAGACACTTTTGCAACTTGCGCGACGAATTTCCTCTGTCCATCCATCCCCCTTGCTTCAACGGCCACTCCGTGCGCCTCCCCGAGATCAACAACGACCATCGCGCAGGACTCGCGACAAGCGTCATCGCATACACATCGCATACAACGCCAGCCATCCTCCAACAATGCCACCCCTTGAACCCTACAGGGCCGCTCGCCCACGGCACCTTCGCCAGGCACCAGCGGCGCCCAAAACCCCAGAACCATTTGCCGAAAGCCAAGCGCAGCCCCCGTCACCAGCGCGGCCCAAGTTTCGCTTGAGGAGGCGAACTACATCATCACAACTCAACGCCCCGACTCAACACTTTCTCGCATCAGTTGCCGCCGCCGATGTTCCCGTCCCCAGCATTGAAGGGCCTCAAGTTTATGACGACGACCAAGACATGCTGAGCATCGCGTACCCATCTATCCCCCAACTGGACCGGATTGACGACGTCACATTTGAACACCCCGGTCCAAGGAGGACCTTCTCGCCGCCCAAGACCCCAGCTCCCGAATTGGCTCCGTCGCCGTCAACAAAGCAGTTTCCAGACTGGTCAATCGACGCTGCCATTAGCAGCCTTGAGTCCAGCCCCGAGTATGACAGCAGCCGGCCCTCCACGGCAAGGTCGAGTGAGACCAGCTCGTCACTGTGTAGTCGCTTCTCTCTTGCATCGGAAGACCTGAGCCAATGCGCCAGCCCCGAGAGCGACCATTGTGACCGGTTTGGCAGGTTCCTTTCGCCAGAGGATGCCGGTAGGGCGGTTAGGTCGCTCGTGACGGCTACACGATCAGCGAAATCAAGAAAAGCCCCTTGGACCAGGGCAATGAGCCAGCATCTTTGGTCCACATACGCCATGTACCTGCAGGATCCAAAGGTTACTCCTTTTCAGGTGGGCAAGAGCGGCATTCCTCCGCCCGGAGTGTGCATGCGCGTGGCCAGGGAAGCCAAGAGAAGCTGGAAAGGCTCGAGGCCTGTGGCCAAGTCGGAAATCAAGAGCCGCAGTTCAACGCCAACGGCCGAGGCTGCCGGGCCATACATTGAGTGGCCACACACATGCGCAGCTACTCGGGGTCACTTGCGAGAGCTTTGCAAAGCTCGCGGCGGGCCATCTCGCAGCCTCCAAAACCTGTCCAACAGCCCGGCATCGTTTGGCAAGTCTATCAATCGATTTTGGAACCGTCGATCGGCGCCGGCCCGCTCTCCCACGGTCTTCTCTGCTTCAGACATGGCCATGTCCCTAGCTATCTGCACATCAGATTCCATGCAACCTCAAGGGCCTTTGGCTCGGTTGACCGCCTCGCAGCCCGAACCGTCAACTGAGGCCACCCCACCGCGACTCCAGCCGATATTTGCCCTTGGAGACACCTTGGATCAGCCCAGACCACCTCTCGGGTCTCCCTTCATGGCCAGGAGTTATGGGCCGAGCTCATCAACAGGCTTGGAAGAGGCCTTTGATGTCAGTCCCGAAGCCCAACGACAAGCCCGCACGGTTGGTACGCTGCGAGGCTTGAGGTCGCCTTTGAGACTCGACCAGAGTCGGTCGAGCATGCAGAAGCGCAGATCCAGGCAGTCCGTGTTGGAACCACAACGCACCAAGCGGCCCAGTCTGGGCTCAGACTTCTGGATAGACCCGGCAAGCAACGAGAATGCGGCATCCAGCGCGCCCCTTATCCAATTCAGCTCCACCGATTCCAACCACCACGACAGCCTCTTTGTCCCTCGCGCCAACTTGCAGGAACTCTTTGAGGCCTCACATCCCGCTCCGTCACCAGCCGCCGCGTCCTCGGGCTTCCCCCCAATAACTGGCTTGACGCCTTCACAGACTGTCCCCGCCCGGCTAGGCTCGCCATTCTCAGCAAAGGCCGCGAGCCACTCATTTCCGAACCGCCACTTCAGCGTCTCGACGATCAATGTCGACGCCGTCGTCCGTCCATTTGCTACCGTGCACCAAGCTGGCGGGGAGGGTGTGAACAGTGCTGCGCCGTCGTCTAACAAGACGCCGCTTGCCAACCGCCTTGCATACATCGACGAACGCCTGAAGCGCTTTCGCCGCAGAGACAGAGAAGGTCGACGGTCGCAGTCACCTTTCTAAATATCCCGTCTCCTTTCGACATGTGGAAATATAATGATATTTACGATTTCTTCACCATTACCCACCATTTTATATATACCTATTTTGTATTTTTTTTCTGCTGCCTAGCACCTTTTGCAAGCTGACGATATCCGACGAGTCGGCAGCAATTTACTTGGGACAATTTCCGTGACGATTTTACGACTGAATGATAATTAAAGAGGGTTAACAGACCTCGGAGGAGCGATGGCTATATTCTTGCTACTAGAGTTTTAGTTTTTTTTTTGAAAAGAATTTCTACACTCGGCTAGCAGCTATATCATTTAATATACTGCCCTATTTCTGTGTGCTTTGCCTTGGACGCGTGTTTTTGCCACTATATATGTAGCCATCTATCTATCTATAGAATAGACGAGAGTAGATTGAAAGAAGAGAGGTTGGACAGGCAGAGAAACAGACGTTGCCCACGTAACCCCTAGGTCCAAGAGCAGTATTCCGTACCTTGATATCTAAAGTAGGTTGTGGATGAATTAAATAGTAATCTACGCGTCTGACCTCCTACAAGTACAACTGTAGCCGTGTCAACAAGCAGCATCTACATCCTGTTAGGCTGCGGAATTTGTTCCCACCAGCAATCAAGCTCGAGTGACGCCTGGCATTTATCAAGCCAGCCGTGATGCAGGGCACTCGTTACGCCTCCACGGCCCCTTCCTTGTACATGGGCATTGCAGCACCGCATATTCCAGTCATGCGTCAATCTTATCTGCATGACATGCCAGCTACTAATGGCAGCCCACCCTGCTAACAACACGCACAGCGGCCTCACGATGCTCTCCTTGCAGATTTATAACATGTCATTCATCGTCTACCCAGGGATCTTCTCGATCCACTGTTCAATAGCAAGTTCGCTGCATGATATGTACATGTGCCGCGTAAGGGGCGGTCGTTTGATCAGCAACACTGCCACATGCCGTAGCCCACCACCCTGTTTCATGCCAAACGACTGACTTACACGGGACTCCCGCTGCTTCGCGTCCAACTCGATGCGTCAGCCCACGCTTATTACTCAACCAGTAGCTGTTTCCGCGAGAAATCCCCCCAAGAAAGAAAAGAAGAAAAAGGGAAGAGAGAAAATGAAGATGAAGGCGTCGAAACAGCTGCCTCTTATCCCGGCAAAAAAAAAAGGAAAAGGAAAACTACCCTTCCCTCACCTCACTCGAGATAGGCCGCGCGTGCTTTAACCTCGCCTCCTCCCGCCGGCCACTCGTAAATAGCGGCTCTGGTATCAGTTCCCGAACACCGGTATAAGAATCCCTTAGCCGCAAGCCCATGTCGGGGTGTTTACTCCGGCTCCTTCCGCGGCTGTGCGGGCAGCGTCGCTCGCCGATGGCGGCGCGATGCGAGTGGAACGAGCACTCGCGGAAGCCGAATAGGCGCTCGTCATTGCGTAGCTTGTTGGCCGAGATGCGCAGTTGCGGGTTTTTGGAGCGTATGTCCAGCCGGGCGGCCTTCATGTTGCGGACGTGCGTGGCGTAGTCGGCCGCAAAGTCGGGCAGCGAGTCGAAGAGGGCCCTGAACCGCGCCGGGTCCGAGGTGGCGGAATCCTGGGGGTGGAACTTCAAGTTGGCGATGCTGCTGCCGACTGTCTGGGAGAAGGCGACCATGGCCACGGCCCATCTGCGGACGCGGACGGCCGGCAGGGACTCGCACTGCGTGTAAAGGTAGGTAATCAGGCTTGGCGGCACGTCCCAGTCGTACTTGAGGTACATGTCTTGGATGGCGTCCATGGCTAGGTCTTGTAATTTGTAAAGGTCCAGGTGTGAGGCGAAGAGATGTAAGCGGATAATGGCCCAGTGGATGTCCTGCGCCGCCTGCTCGCCCGTGTTATGGGCTGAGGCTATAGAATGGTCGAGGAACTGGCGGAACGAGCCCGGGGCGTGAACCCAGTGGACGAAGAGGGCGAACATGGTGGAGGATTCACCGGGGAGCCAGAGGCAAACTGATTTCGGCTGGGAGTTCTCTAGGAGGCGCTCAGAGAAGAAGGGCGATGCCTCACAAAGGAGTTGGCAGTTCACGCTGAAGGGTTGCTGCTTGGCGCCGATAAGAACGGTTGTTATTGAGCTTAGGGTTGGCTCTGAGGTAGACCGGGAGGTGGATGGGGACGCGGCAACGTTAGGTGGTGGAGGGAGGGTTTTATCGAGGCTGGGTCTTGGTGATGATGATTTGGAGGCGGTTGCATGGTGTTGATGGTAGTGGTGCTGGCGTTGACAACGAGAGTGCCATGGTGAGCGCAGGCGATTGATGGGCACCATGGCATCAGTAGTTTAGACAGACTCAAGACGCCCGCCAAGCCAAGTGTCATGTACTCTTTTTTCTTGAATCTCTCTCTTCACTCAAGAGTAGCAGTGTCGATGGGCGTGTGCGGACGGCCAAAAATGTATTGATAGCAAGAAGAGCAAAGCCCCCTCTCCTCCCGCAAAAGCCGGCAAACCCAACGGCCTGTCTGTCCCTGTACCGTCCCGAATAGCCAAGACGGGAAGACGCACGGAAGATGTGATGTCGTTTCCTTTCTACAATCAGTTAGTAAAAGAATGTGACGCACAGGGTTGCCTGAGCCCAGGGTCGATACACCAGTCGGTGCGCAGAACGCACCTTATGACACGCACCCAACCATAAACCCAGCTAGGCAGACCGGGGGAGGACCAAGGACATTGAAAAAAAAAAAACGAAAAGAGCTAGCATCCAGCAAGAGTTTATAAAAGTCATACTAACTATGTATTAGAAGACACGGGTGTTAGGAAACAGATGGTCGCTCGTAACCTGGGCTGGTGGTTAATACGCATAGCTACATCTTTTGAACTGTTTTGCAATACGAACAAAAGAGTAAGCAAGTCCGCAGCCTACAAAACCACCACCCCCTCCAGGGAAGAATCAAGGGATCTTGAAACAGAGTAGTGTGCTCCTGTCAAGCCGGGTCAAACATCCTGTTTAGTGCTAGCATGACACCGAGGACTTACTCATAACCCTTTAGCCTTAGCATTGGGACGTGGCCGCCTCACCAACGGCGCCGACATGCTTCATGTGTACTCCGTAAGACTATTAGGCTCCATGACAAACAGAAGAAGAGTGCAAGAGCGTTAGATGATCGCTGAAGGATTCCCACCGTCCCGTGCCAGTCACACATCTCCGAGGGGAGAAATGTCGAGTAGACTTGTTGGCCAAACGTTTCATGACACCCACGACACCCCTGTTATTTCAACCATGGTCAGCAGCCAACCCCCGGTTCCCCAATGCTTGTTGCTGTATCAGCTGGGGAGAGGAAGGAAGGCTTCCCAGCAACCAAGAGCAGAATAAAACAAAGACATGCATGTCGCTCTTCATATCAACCCATGTTCCCCAATTTTTTTTACCAGCAGTGCCGGGCTAGGATCGACACTGTTTTCCACAAGCGATGGGTTCGTGCTTCTCGCGTAGCACAGAATTGCGGGGAGCACTGCTGTTTTGGATTCCTCTCTTTTTCCTTTCAAAGGCTTTCCAGTTCCCACGCATCGCCTTGGCGACCGGGAAGATGACCTGCTTGCAGCGTGGTAGCCGATTCATGAGGGTTCCATCTCTTATGCGTGGGTCCGATCCCTTGAAGCCTACTTTGCCGACTTGTGCATGTATTCAAATACTCGGCGCTCCTCAGCAAGGTCGAAGAAACTTGCGTCATGGCTGGCATAGGGAGAGAGAGGGGAAGGGGAAACAACGGGCCAATACGGAGTAGGGCAACGTGGTATGTGGTTCATTAGGCGTGAGACAGACTCCAACAAAAACGTGGCCATGATTTCTCTTGTCGCACTCCGTTGACGGCGTCGATGCTGCGAGGAGCTGACTCGACCGGGGGCCACGGGAGACGCACGGCTGTGGGTCGATATAACCCATCGATTCAGTACGCAGCACGGCGTAGCATTGTGTCGATTTCGCTTTGTGTTTCTGTTCCTGAGCCAAGGTCAGCTCGGAAGTACTAATCAGTCACAGAGGCAGATGACCCCGGGGGGCGAGTGGAGGCAAAGTACCCGCATTGGTTTCTCACGGCCACGCACCGACTACCTAGTAATTTAAAGTGAATGTACATACACATACCGAGTTGAGTTAAATAATCACACAAGTCTTTTGTTGCAGGAATTATCAAAGACCCTGGGCCATCCCGATCCCGCGGGCGCAGCAGAACACTAGACCTGTCCGAGCTCGGTCCAATCTTGCTGGCCAAAAAGACATGGCGAATATAATACATACGTACGGAGTAGATGGTTACAGATAAGGGGAACTACTAATAAAAAAAAATAAAAAAAAGGAAAAGAAAAAGCAGGCACCGTCCTGGCCACCGGACAAGATGATAATCCGTGTTTCACCCCGTCTGGCCCACCAAACTGGGCAGGAACCTTAATGGGCCAGATGAACGCTCAGGGATGCAAGAGCACGGTTTCCCGTCGACCCGATGCTCACGATAGCTGGCCGTCCATCCACGGTCGCACCAGACGCCATACCAGATAACGCAGCCGTGACCTCGGCTCCATGACAGAAGTCTCCAGCTTACAAACTGTTTGGAAGCAAGCATATGACCATCATGCGATTACACCTTTGATCTACGATCGTGATCCAAGAGCCGCCGTGCTCCGTACAGATGTAGATATTGGCCCCCCTGGACCGAGTCCAACAGTATGCAAAGGCCCCCTCGTAATGTCATCCCGTGTATCAAAGCGTTGATCGCTGCGAACCACGGCGCCCAGCGCGCGTACACAGTGAATAGGCGGTTCCCCGGTGCCGTCATCAATCGCCCGCTTTGTCCACCTGGCGTCGGTTTCAGAGAATGCAGGTTACAAGGTTGCGCTGCATGGCCGTTCTCATGCACCGCACACATGCCTCATAAGTTCGAAGTCGATTAATTGCGTCAACGTATCGTCGATACTGGGCAAAGTTCAGCTCACAAGTCTTGGCTCGAGGCTTTGTAACAAATTAACATTGAAGTCCCTGCCGAGGTCGCTGGGACCAAAAAGGTATATTACATGGGGAGCCAAAGCAAGTAGTTTCAACTTTAGAGCTTAATCATCCAGTTGAATGTGCAATGCGTATCTATCCTCAGCCCTGGTTCTCGTCCCGAGATGGTATTCATTCCTATCCTTGTTCTGCTCCTCATGCCGCCATTTCCATACTCCCTGCGCCAAGTCTGCCTCTACGGTTTGCCATAAAGACCACCCATCCTTGTAAAACGCAAATGTGATATATTGCTCCCAGTTCCCACAAATCACGCATAAACTCCCTTTTTTAAAAAAACCTGCTCCAGAACCACAATTGTTGATTTCCGCAGCCATAGCTCCAAATGCATACCGCCAATCAATAACGTCAGAAGTTGATTCGACCAGTCGTGCCGGCTGCGTCTCACATCTTTTCAGTCAAAACAGCAGGGATATCGCCATCTTCTTCCTCAGAGTCTGAGTCTTCGGTATCAGTGCTGTCGTCGAGCTTCATCGGGTCGTTGCGTGCTCCTGTACTCGCCGGGGCGTCTGGGGTAGCTCCGACAACATTACTACCAGGTGACTCCTTCGCTGGTTGCGGTTGTGACGCTGAATGGTCTTGTGCTGCCGCAGTGGTAGGATCTATGTGCTCTGCCGTGGCTGCTGATGCACCTAGGCCACCCATATCTGCCAGTCGAACTCGCTTCCGTGGTGATTCAGTAACAGGGCTTGAGACTGCAGGCTGCGAAGTAGGTGCAGAATCGCCTCTTTCGTTGATACGAGCCTTCTTTCCCACTGGTTCAGACCCATTTTGACTAGCCGATGCGTCTTGTCGCCGCCCAAGATTTTCTTCTGGTGGTGCTGTGATCAACCTCTCGCGCTCTGCCTCAATTTCGGCTTTGGTGCGTCTTTCCCGAAGTTTAACCCCATACTTCCTGCGAGTTGTTGATTGTTTTGTATTGAAGCAGTTCTTGATTTTGGCTACCTCTTCATCTTGCTGTGGTTGTGGAAGCTGCATGGCCTTTCGCAAAAGTGCACCGTAGTGCACTTCAGTATGTGTCAATTCCGCTTTAAGTCGATCTCTGTCCTCGGGCGAGAGGTGTGCATATGGGCCAGAGCCTTTCCCTGTTGCAGAGGCACTCCGAGGCGTCATCGTCGCCGCCGTGCCCGAGTTTACAGCTGTGAAATGAGTGGCAGGGGCAGATGACTGGGCAGGCTGCCTCCAACTCTGATCTGGGGTTGACGACGGCGTTGACCGTGGGCCCTGGACCGCTCCAGAGGGTCCAGCAGAAATATGCTCTTGGTAGAAATTTCGTAGTGATGGCATAAGGGCAGAGGCGTCCCTCTCGGTGTATTTCCCACACGCTTGCGTCTTGATATGATACGGCAAACCACCAGTACTGAAGTGGGATCCGCAGTGAGGGCAAATCTCTCTGCCAACCCGGTCAATTGTCCTGAAATTGCCGTAGCAAACCTGTTTCAATTTATGCTGACTTGAGTTAGTTTGCTGCAGGGTATAAATGTTGGATTCGGTTGGAGGAGCCAGCAAAACCTACAAATTCGAGCGCGTCCGGACCTGATAACGGACGTCTGCAGACTCCACACTGAGTCAAAGTGGAATAACTGTGCCTATTCGTTGGTCTTTGCGTCGCCTGCGGTTGCGGGCCCGGCCATGTAGAGGCTGGCATTGCTGGCATAGAATGAATTTGAACTGATTGTATTGAAGGCTGCACAAAAGACTGCGGGTGAGGCTGTGCCCGAGGCTGCTCATGTTGTGACGGGTGCTGGGCCAAATCATGCTTCATGTACGGAATAACATGTTCAGTTCCATCCTTTCTCTCCTCGACAGCATCCTTGACATCATATCCAAGACGCTCTGCCTGGGCCAGAGCATTTACCAGCGAACGGGCACGAATGGTCTCCAACCGCCGGGCCAGGGCCTGGTCCAAAAAGTTGGTGCTGGCCTTGCTCAGGATCTCCTCTGCTACTTCATCCAAGTCCTCTGCTGTGAAGTGTGAGATAAGCTGGTGCTTTGACGTTTGAACAAGCCTTGAGCCAAAATCTGCGATGGCTTGAGTCAATGTTGGCTTGTGGGCCTTGTGAATCGCCGTGTTAAACTAGTCGAGAGGTTAGGACTTGAAGCGACGCAGCTTTCGAATCGATTTGGACGACAACAAAGTCTGGTAGGTAGTGAGGGCGTTTTACTCACTATAAAGGCTAAGTGATACTCCGAACCAAGTAAACACGTTTCATGATAATCTCTAATCACTTGCCGCAGCACGTGGGGTTCAGTTCTCTGCATCAGCTGGATTAGCGCAACATATTGTGCCGAATTACACAGTTGCGTGTCGTTCACCCTCGGAGATGGGTAGGCAACCCTTTGCCTTTGGCCCTGCTGAGGTTGCATAGGAGGCGGCCCAAAGCCGTTGATTGGCGGTCGATGAACCTGAGCCATTGTCGACGATGGCATCTGAGGTCGTAAATGTACAGTCTGCACACTCGGATGCATCTGTGCCGCAGCGTTACTGTGTTGGCCCAGGGCAGACGCTGCTCCAGAGGCAATCGGGGTCGCTGGTGTCAGAGGCGTCGCCGGTGCCGCCGGGGGCGGATGTGCCAGTTGAGTCGACATGGAGGGATCAGCCTGTGTAGCATTCGTGTTCTGATCTGAAGGCGAGTTCCGCCTGCTTGCTCCCGGCGAAGGCAGAGGGCCAGTTGATATTGATGACGCGCTTGATACCACAACGGGCGACGCCGGCCCAGTCATTTTTTGGCCTGTGTGGTCCGCCATTTTGGGACACGTCTCAACCTGCATAGGCCCAGCCTCCAAAGATCAATGATTGCCTAACAGGCCGGCGGGATTCGTGGCTAAATATATGCGTTAGATGAGTCTGGTGGTGGTAGTGCCTTCTCTTTTTATTTTCTCCTAGTGTCCGCGTTTGGGCAACTGCGAAACGCAAATAAGGTGGAGCAGCCCTCAGGGGAAAAGCATGAATAATAATGTGAACAACAGTAGCAAATAGACAGAAACCGAGTACTAGTATTCATCACAACTCGGCGTACGTACCTATATTGAGGAGCACACCCCCCACCAAGCAAAATCTGGCGGTGCCGATTTTAAAGTGCTTAAACGAGAGACAAACAGTGGTCCTCCACAATGTCTACGCGAACACCGTAGTACCCAAGTACCTTTGGTACGTAGAAATTACCCAGTTAGGTCGATACTAGGCAGCGTAAGCAGGCCGACGAGTCACGACGGAGCGCGATGTGCAGCCGTCAAGCGTGGTGTGCCAACACAAACTGAAGATGGTGAGTCAGGCCGAGGGATTTGAATTTCTCCCTAGAAAAAGAGTTTTTGCCGGTGCTTTTTTGACATGCACAAAATCAGTTCCGGGTCCCCGGGCGAGCAAAGGGAGGGAGGAAGGATTGTTTTAACATAAAAAAAATTTGAATTAAAACGAGAGCGCGGTAATAGTAGTTGGAGGGGGTTGGCCGAGGAGAAACGACTATTTCTGCCTCACAATTTAGGCTCACATATGTACGTTAGCGCATAATTGCATAGGCGGCAAAGGGCTAATTCAGCTTAGCCGCTTAATGGTAGGCTCACACAACCTGGCTTATAATTCATCACCCCACCGTCACCGGGAATTTATGTAATTTATCACACGTAGATCACGGAGTAATTTAATATCATCTAGTACTAGTTGTGGAGCACGGAGGACTCCGTACAAGTTCATGACACCGAGTCTCCACAAGCATCCATGTAATAATGCCCAGTCTCATCATTTTCGACTCCGTAATTATTATGCCGAAAAGGCTTATTTCGCCGACTAAGGCTTATTAGGGGTGTCGTTTTAATGCTACTGATTCATTTGCTTCACTGGCAGTGGATTTCTAAGCCATCTTGTCAGGGCTCGATTCTGACAGGAAACATAGCCCGAGTGCCATTGCAAGCGCCTTGCTGGACATCTAGACTTTCATCTGTGCACCTAGTTCTACCTGTCTTGGTGCCTATTACTAGACAAGTACTTGAGCATGCCTGTTGCCACGCGTTGCAACGCATCCGTCAGGTTGAGAGGTGTTGGGGATGCTTGTCGTGTCGCATGATTAGAACTTGTGTATGTACCGGCCTACGGGTTTCAATACAATCCTGCCGCCGAGTCATGATGGTGTATCCCATATCGTGCATTCAAATGTCTCGTAATTCTCCGGCAATAACCCTGCAAAGCCCCACTGACCGATACATGTATCACGGCTCAAAGGAGAAGTTGCGATCGTTACAGAATACGTGGGGACGTAACAGTAGTTCCTCTCTCAAACATTGAGATCTTTCAACTGGACTTTATGCTACATAGTATTATATAGGACCTCAATGACCGCTGCGCCGTGCTTTCAGCGAGTCCCTTGGCATGACATGACTGCGCATAGCAAACCCTGTGCTCCAAAACGCCATACAGCAAGCCCGAAAGTTCCGCAATGCCATGTCCATTTCCGTTTGCCCCCCTGCCGATTTGTATGCCTCACGAGTCACAACTACCTTCCCAAAATCGCACCATTGCATCACACTTCTCAACGCCACTCGCCGATGCACGCCAGCATCAATCTCTTGTAATCCCCAGATACCTCTCCGTCGATACGACTGGCCAGGCTTCGGCGGTAGCGTTGTTGATATGCAGCCTTGGCGTTGGATAGCATAGTGTGATCCCAGTGAAGCCGGACTACGCGAAGAACAAGTAAAAAGTCTTTGGTTCCCGCGCCGCGCATGGTCTCTTCCAACAGTTCAGCAGCGTGCATATACTTGTCGACGGCGTGGCCCAGCTGGAAGAGGAGTGCATCCCTCATGTGCCCAGAGAATTCCTGCTCGTTATTAGCCCCATGCTAAACCATTCATCGACAGGACCCATAGGAACTTCAACTTACAGAGTCAATAACCTTGGCCAAGTCACGGTTGAACTTTTGCTTATAGGTGTGGGCAATGGCACGGATTTGGTTATCGTTGTGGCTGGTCAAGATTTGACAAACAAGAATTTCGTCCGTGCCCATCCTGCCTTCCGTCGCCTGATAAATATGCATCACGGCATCGTCGACTTTTCGGGGATCCACTGGCTCAGCATCTTCGGCTCTGTTGGCCGCAAGCACCATGAGGAAGTGCCTTTCAGTCTTCATGCTCAGATCACCCTTGACATCTTGCTCCAGGGACCTGCCAAACTGCTGACGGTATGCGCCCTTGATGGCCTTGATATCAGCATTGGATCTGCTAAGAAGGACGTCGTTGAGGACTGATTCCTTGGTTCCGATGCCTTTCATAGCATCTCTCAGGTTGTGGACATCGGCCAGCAGAGGGCCGTAGGCTAGCTGCACCAGCCCGTCTTCAAAATACCGACTTGTCTCGCTCTTGATGTCGTCAATGAGACTTCGTTTGAAAGTGCGGTCAAATGTCGTCCGAATAAGATCGATCTGCAGTGGGTCCTTGGTGGACAAAATTCGTATCAAGGCCTTTTCATCCGTGCCAAAGCCCTTCATCGCAGCCCGCAATGCCTGCGCATCGGGATTGGCATCCCATTGAATGATCTGGGGCGCGCCATATCCCTTCGACGGCGGCGTTGCTGGCACGGAATGGCCATATTGCTGGGGAGGGGGAGCGCCGTAGGGAGCGCCGTACTGGCCCTGGGGCGGCGCAGGCGAGTGATGGCCGTATGGCGAAGGTGCGGGCGGAGGAGCATTGAAGTGCTGCGGCGGCGGCGGCTGTTGACCGTAGGATTGCTGGTGAGGAGGAGGATAATGGCCTGGCGGAGGCGGAGGCGGCTGTTGATAGTATCCTCCCTGCTGGGGTGGAGGATAATGGCCTTGTTGAGGGGGGTATTGGCCTTGCGGCGGAGGATACTGGCCTTGTGGCGGAGGATACTGGCCGTAGCCTGCCTGTGGTGGCGGTTCTGTTGGATATTTCAAACCGCTGGTTAGTGCAAGCTGTCGGGCAAGCTTTCGAACGAGGAGCTCGCGCATGGAGGGGTTGGGTCTCACTCACGACCGTAGGGCTGACCATATCCTTGATACGACATTTTGACAAAGGGGTTCTGCGTATCGGGTTGCCGTCCTTTGTTTGTTCCTGAGTCGATCTGCGAATGACGCAAGCAGCCACGGCGGATGGAATCAACAGGTGGATTGGAGAAAGGCAAAAGCGGCGCAAATGGCCGTGATGAGGGGAGGGATTAGCTTAAGTACGGGCAAACCCACTCTGATGACCCGAAAAGGCCTTCCTTCAAATGGAGCACGAAACCTGTGTGCGTGCTGTCCATCCCACTTGCTCTCGTCAGCCTTGGTACCTTGCAACTACCTGAACACCACATGCAGACGTCTAAGTACTTAAGTAAGCAAGCCAAGCACTTGTGCAAACCGTTGAGACTTGGCTGGCAGCCTCATCCATTGACATGGCGACAAGCCATCAATGATCTATCACAAGGTGGCTGAGCTTGGAGCTGAGTTGCTGGCCTGGCCATCTCAACGTCATGTACACCCACTGTATACCCACTGTAGCCTGGTCAAAGTGGGCAGCCGGCTGGACGAAACCCCGCAACGGTCTCGCGCGAGCCTCACATGATGACGTTTTCTCCCACAAACACATTTGACAGTTGCGTGGAGCATGGATTAACCTGCAACCGGGCGACATCTGGTGCATCGGCAGACATCAGAGCTATTTTTCTGCGACGAAGCAGCACATCACTAACCCAAGTCCTGTTGCTGGCTGCCATGTCGTTGTGTCGCTGAGGCGGCGGAAGCAATGGGATCAATTGATGTGACGGGCAGGGAATACTCGGCATCCATGTCGACTTGGAGTACGGAGTAGGAGACGGTAGATGAGGAAGCCGTTATAACTGCTCTGTACTCCGTACGGGTGCTCGCCTGTCGAATTGCCACCCATTCGCTGTCCGTCTTGACTGGTTGTTGGTGAGCTGTGCCCAAGTCACGCATCCCGATTGCACTGCCACAAGGCCTCCAATGCAGTGGCGCAATGACTGACTAAGTAAGCTACCGAAGTCGGGCTGCCTCTGTCTTGGCTGGGCTCTGCAGCTGCAACGACTCCGTGCAAATTCCATCTGGTCTGATGGCGGCAAGTATCAAGGAGAATGCTCCTTTGTCAACATCAACGCTCGATACTCAGGACGGAGTGACTGCCTACTAGTACCTTCGAGTCAAAATAAGGGGACGCGGCGCCACGGCGTTCAGCCAAGACTTACTCGTATGTACATCAACAAAGGAAGCAACATCCCGAAACATTGGGGGAGGTGCTCCTCCAGGAAAACATTGAAGCCTATTGTCTGTTCTCAGGGCAGACCAGTCTGATGTTTTGGAACAAAGGCGATGGGCGTGAGGGATCTGGTCCTATTTGCTGGATAGATTTCTGGGTGCTGAAGGGGTCTGCGGCTGTGAAAACAAAGGGCATGGTCTGATAAACAATCGACATTTAAAGGTGGCTGGCCTCGGCGGGTGCTGCCGAACCAGCCAGGGGGCGATACGGAGTACAGCAAGGTTGTTATCGTGCACCTTTAGGTGGTGAGGGCAAGGAGCCACCTAAAATAAGTGGGACTGGCACGATTACGGGGTCTGGCAACACCAAACTAGAATTTTCAACTGAGGCCAACCGCCACCGTTGACCACCAACGGTCTGAGTGACAGAGGAACACCAGGCGCCACCGAACTGGACCTTGCACGGCGGACATCTGGAACTTCACCCGGGCCAGACACCTGGAACCTCAATGCTTGTGTTGCAACCAGCCAAGTAATCGGCCAATGGACCCTCAAGTTCCAAACAGAGTTAGTACTGGTACTACAACATACATGTACCCTGCCGCCAAATTTGCCCCGTCGTGTACTTGGCCACCAAGTGTTCCCCATGTTCCACAGACTTACCCCTGGCACTAAATTGCTACCATCTCCCGTTCCTGCCTCTTTCAGCGGGCACTGTCCCTGTCCCTTGCCGCGCCGTCTCCAACCACCACATTTCACCAGCCACCTTGAATTCTTGAGACCACCACTTCATAGGCGGGCGCACCGACGATATGTCAAAATCGCTATGGAGTACTTCGTACATATGTACGCATCTGGCGTTACATGCCTTTTCTCTTTTCTATATTTACTGCCACCAGTGGCCATTCTCCGTCTTGTCCATTTTCGTCTACAAGACTGCATTTGCATTCCTCGTCAACTGCACTAATCACCATCCGTTGTCATCCATTCTTGTCCTTGGGACTTCCTCAACTACCATCTGAAACAACATCGCAACCATAACCACAACCACATTGCTACGGCCGGCGCAGTTTGAAGGGACAGTTTTCGTCAACATGCGTGGACCCGTCTCATTCGTTGCCGTGCTCTCAGCACTTGCCACGCTTGGTTCTGCACTCCCACAATTGGACATGGTGCCTCGAGCAGCAGCTACTACTCCTGTTAAGCCCAAGTATTCCGTGGTACCTCTTGAGCCTGGCGATGATGATCCACAAAGCGGCAACGGTGGCAATGGCGAAAATAGCTCCAAGGGCAGTGACGTGACCAAGACGGTCGTCGAGACCGAAGATCCTGTTACTCACACAGTCACGAAAACTGGCCAACCTGTTACTGTCACGCACCCGGCTCCTACCACCATCTCAATAATTCCCATTGGAGGCAACCCAGATGTTACAATAACTGTGACTGCTGAAGTGACACCCACTGTTGCATCAACGACGGCCTCAATTGCCACCCCTGCGACGACGAGCTCAGTGATTGCTCCTACAACCACTTCAGTTTCCGATTCAACAACGACTTCAGTTTCTGATTCAACAGCGACTCCAGTTTCTGGTCCAACAACGACTCCGGTTTCTGATCCAACAACAGCAACACTTACTACCACCTCCACTCAGGCCAACTCTACAGCAGCAACACCCATATCGCCCATTAGTTCCACAACATCCATCGTCGTCACCCCAACATCTCCCACGGATACAATCCCCTCGATCCCCTCTGCGACGCCGCCTGCACCAATGTCAACAACACCTTGGTCTGTTCCAAGCTCCAACCACACAACAACCACATCAAATCCATTTTCAGAAACCACCAACACAGCCGTACGCGCAACGACTCTTCTTGGAACCGGAAGTAGACCGGAACTGTCCGCCACGACTCCTGCGCCCATAGCGACTACCACCTGGATCCCCACCACTTTGAGCACTGTCTTCCTCACGCCCTCATCCTCATCAACCTCAACAAATACGTATGACGATGGCAAGTGGCACACAACATACCCAGCTTGGAATGACACCGCTACGCATCGGTTCCGACGTTTTTAAGATTATTTCATAAATTATTAATAAGTTCACATGTACAAACTCACCACATTGCCGATATGTTTTGAAACGCATGTAAGAAGTAATGAGAATGGGAGAGGGAATCGCGGCCATGGACGGGGAAGACATTGCAAGACGCGTGCAGAATATGGAGGAGGGCATCAGAAACTTGCAGCACATGGCCTTTGGAGTTTAGGATATCACTGGGGCATACTCATGCATATGTATATACATGTATGCATATTGTCAATTGGTTGTGGCGACACGCACCAAGCGCTGGGGTGTGGTACCATTTGCCTAGGTATATAATGTCGATAAACGGAATAATATCAATCTTACAAGGATGACAATACCTGGTGGATTTTCTTGGGTGTTTTTTTTTTTTTTCTAAAAAAAATGCCCAGGTGAAAGCGGTTGTTATATATAGCAAGATATGCATGCCTGTCACATCACGCTCACTTTCGGCAACAATATTAATGCGATTGAACCAAGCAAACTCACAAGACAACAACAATGTCGCCGCGCTGAACAATATCAAAACTCCCAAATTTCAAATCAAATGCCATGACAACCGGCAACATGATAAATCTCAGAAACATCAACCAGTCCAACGCAATCTCGCAAATCGTGACTCCGCCCTCAACTACCGGCATAAAAGACTCGAGACTTCCCAGTAAGAAATCACCGCCGTCATGAGTGAAAAACCAGTGACTAAATGCTCCTCCAGAAACAAACACTCAGGATGTGGAACCCAGAGACAGACTTCCCCAACGCGAACGGCACGGCCATCACCATACAAACTTCGCCCACGGCCGAGAAGGAAACCGTTGTCATTGTGGCGGTTTTGGTGACTTGTGTCTTGTCTCTGGCCCTGACGGCAGTATCTGTGCTGCTTGTTCTACAGAGACTCCGTCGTATGACGAGGGTTCAAGGGGATGAGGCAGCCGCGAGCAAAGACGGCGCTGCTTGAGGGATTCACCATGGGGGCGGGCACAGAGGCCCCGAACAGAGGAGGGACTGAGAGCGAAGGCAGGACTTGTTTCTGCCCCGGTACACAAGGATTGCAAAACACCCGCGGGGCGGAGTATACGGCGAGCGGTCAGTACAGGTATTTCGGTTGGGGAAGCTGAGATGATGGCATTGGCAGCTCTCTCTTTCGCTGTGACGCTGCATTGGGCATTTTTTGCTGGAAGAAGAGCTCAACGTCGACTTGCTGATGTTACGACGCTGTTGGCGAATGCGCGTTGGTCTGCGAAGACGTTCGAGTCTGCCGGGTGTCTTGAGCGTATATATTCTCCGATCGCGTCCAACAATCGTCCACCAAGGAACTAGGTAGATTACGCAGTTCTATATACCATTGTTCAGTTGCGTGTCATACACGGACTACTCATCTAATGGAAGGAGGGTTGAGACCGTTCGGCGCGTGATAGTCTTCATGTTGCTCACCCTCCTCGTCCGCCACTTCACAGCTCACGGCTCCGCGGGATATTGACAGTAGGCTTCTTTAGCCGCAGCGTTTGGCAAGTCACTCTTTTGCTTCAAACTCTCGGTTTGGGGCTTGGTTACGGGATGAGTTGTCCGTGGCGATCCCGTCACGGCTCTGACTCGTGCATATGTAGTCGTTTGCTAGGCAAAATTTGAAGATACTAATTGGGCTAGAGGAGTTGTAGAAATGAATTCCCAGAAAAGGATCCAAATCTCGAAATTGCAGCGAAATATTAAAAAAACATGTCCAAACTCACTATTTTATGCGTGGATTAAACCCGAAATTTTGAGCAGCGGTAATGGCCCATGTCTCGCTCATATCGATCCCGGGGACCTGCCGCGCATTGAACATCTGCAGCCCAATCCAACCCTGCCATGATCCCGTCAGGCACAGGGCCTGGGGCCATTACACCGCTTCGATCCCAGCTGTCCCAACGTGAATCTGGTGGGTTCGTGACTCGATCCCGCCAATGTGATGTATACACGTCCGTGGCGATGGGTCCGAACTGGGCAGCAATTCGGTCACAAAGCGAATTTGGCAGGAAAGGCACCATTGTGAACAGGTTAAATTTCACCACGTCCCGATTTTATAAACTCGGTTTTTTTTTCTTTTAATTTTTTTAATTTCTTTTCATAAAGAGCAGAGAGAGAGGAAATCATCGGAGCCCCTCCTACGCCTTCAGCCGTTGATTTTGTCCAACGATTCAAGTCCATTCTTCCGAATTGGGCAATTCATATTGCCCTCGCCGACCATCTTACACAAATACACATGGATTTTTCTCAGCTACGGCCATTTTTTCTGCAAACGGCAATTGCACTCATTCTTTTGCCCATGCTTGCAGCTCATGCATACGCTCACAAGACTGAAATTGCACCGCCGAGTTTATTCAGACGCTCCCAGTCAGTTGGCTCGTCCTGTTCCACCGAAGGCCAATGGAACTGCATGACCAACTCGTTCCAACGATGCGCCAGTGGTCAGTGGAGTGCCGTGATGAACTGCGCTGCCGGGACGATATGCACCCCGTCTGGATTGACGGTCGAATTCAGGGTCCAGCATGACGGAACCGTGGATGGTTCCGGTGGGAGAAGCGCAGCGAGCGCCCTTGGTCAACCTTTATTAAGCCATGTTGTTGGCTGGGGATTGGCGGGTGGTGTGACTCTGTGGGCAATGCTTTAAGTTCATCGGTCCATGCCTTTCAGAGCTGGGCGTCGTTAAATGAGCGGACAAAATACCTGAAATGCTCTGCTGCTCTTTGGCGGATATCACTAACCTGGCCATGTTGTCCAAGTCCCATTGAATTCACACAGTTGAGTTGTATGGATGGGTACGGCGTGAAAAACAGCATATAAGAAGCCTCCTGCCGGCGCTAGCGCTCGATTGTATGTAACCAGACGTAACAATCATCCTCGATGAAGCTGTCTAGTGCTGAACTACAATCAAAGAGCATGTGTTTCTAGTCGTTGACTGGCGTGGATCTTGTATCTCTACATTGCCATTCAGAATACAATCAAGAATCATTGGAAACACGAGAACCCTTACAACGAGAGACTGCGACCTTTCATGTCCTGACCACCTTGACACACGAGCTACGGGTAATGATGCCGCGATACGGAGTAGCACACCTGAATAACAGTCTTGAAAGGGAATGAAGGCTGGCCTCCGTGCCAACATACAATTCTGTCATCGTTGGAGCCATTAACCGCGCCAACGTCCGGTCTGGGAGTGTCGATCGCGATGATGCGATTGGAACACTGTACCTGGCTCAGCATTGAGGAATATTTCGAGTTGTCGCAGTGGTCATTTGTCCCGCACATCCTGATCATTTTGCTGTGCTCCTTGCCCTCTTTCGACGAAGTGAATTCAGTCCGGAAAGAGTACCGAGTACCAACCATCTCTGTTCACCGTCAAGGGTAAGTAGAATTCCCAAGATAGTCGGCAGTGATAACTAAATTTTGAAAGCCCACTCGAAGGTATAGCGTAGTCCGTGCTTGCGGAGCATTTGCTGGCTTTGTCGTGTGCAACTGCTCTATTCAGACGAGTAAGGAGAGCGTGGTGGAGTGAGCCAGGGTTTGGCGCCGCCGAGGCCTGAAACAGTAGCCATTACTCAAGATGCTGGCCTGATCGGACACCCAGCGCCTGCTCATGAAACAAACTATTGGCCGAAGTTGCTATTGACTACCTACCTAGGTACAGTAGGTAGATGTGTTTGCTTGATGGCTGGCAACAAAGAAACCTGGGAGCTTTTCCATGTGCGCGCAACGAAGCTGGGATACAAAAACACCTCCGTACAGTAAGCATGTACAGTGGGCAAGAAAGTAGGAAATGCTGCCAAGTTCGCATAGATAGCATCATGGTGAGAATACCCCGTTTTATCCAGGCGTGCACCCACAAATCAAGTGGCCACAACATTGTTCGTGCTTGGCTGCTTTTTCAGTGGCAAGACTGATATCTGGACCTGGACATTGCCCAGTAGTCATTTCGGTGTGACCCTAGGCTGATAAAATTGGACGTAACCGGAATCTCGAGAAGGTTGATATTCTCATTCCTGGCTGTGAAGAAGGCATCACGACGAGTAAGATGATGTGTATTAATGGAATCTTGCGTGTCGCCTTCCGATAGCATGAGAACCGTCTCAAGTAAGTAACCCTTTCTGTATCTGGAATCAGTTCGGAGAAGATTGTATCGATTTGACATTCGTTTTCGTCACGAGGCATGTTTTTCAACAGTTGCCCAAGTACCTGCCATTCGGCCTAATGTTCTGAAACCAACATGGAACAGGACGCCAGCCGAGGTGTGAGACGGCGAGAAGCGTATGGCCCAGAATGTTTGTCGCTAGACGCTAGAACATTCAACCATGTTTTGTTTGGCTCGGTTGGCTCCTGTCGTCTGATACTGGCGAGCTGGTGAAGAGCTGGTTTATGGCGGTAAAGATTCTGCACTCATGTACATAAGGGGCTGATCCCTACCCATCTCAGTCCTGACAGAGATAGGGCCATTTGGGAAACAAGCCATCCGTTGCAAAACGTCTGTGCGATCAAGGACAAGGCCGACAGCACTGCAGCCACGGAAGGAGATCCATTGGCAAATTGCTATGTTTGCCGTCATTTTCCAACCGCGCGCGGGTTCGCGGACTGTGGATGCAAACGCATGGCTAGTGGCTCTGGTTGAATGCAGATCGCGACAAGGCAATTGCGGGGTGGGCTGACCCCTTGGCTGAGATTATAATTAGTCTCAGGAACAGTGTATGTACGGAGTACGGAGTATGGAGTATGGGGCATGGAGCATGGAGTACCGCATTATCGATGGAAATCATACATAAACCAGGATAAGCCATTGCAAGTCTGTCGGCCTTGAAACCCTGACAATACTCTTTGGCTCTGCCAACTCGACGGACCTCTTGTCTTACCAATTGCGAAGCCTTTTCCATCGGAAGGCACGGCGAACAGACAAAGGGAAGGAAGGAACTACCTCCCCGTGGTACGTGCGACCCGCTGACTTGCACATGTCTGGTGAGCTT